TCCCCGGTAACCACATAGAGGTGGAGAACTAACTCCACGGAGCTGTCCTCTGACCTCCACACCTTGTGTTGCATGTGTGTACCTATGATCACACACATATATCATACACACACTAACAAAGCTGCTCTCTGACCTTCACGTGTGCTGTTGCACAGGAACACCTGTAATCACACACATACATCACATACACACTAACAAAGCTTAGTCTTCTGATCTCCACACCTGCTGTTGGACATGGGTACCTATATGCACGTGTGTCACACACACACACACACACACACACACACACACACACACAGCATATCACAATATTTATATATTTACTTATTGTGTGTGCATTCTTACAAATATGCCATAGTGCATACGGAGGTCAAAGAACATTTGTGGGAGTCAGTTCTCTTCTACCATGTGAGTTCCAGGGACCAAACTCAGGTCATTGGATTGGTGGCAGGTACCTTTACCCACTGAGCCATCTTTCTGGCCCTATACCCATCTTGTGTATGTTGTTTTTGTTCACAACTACTCCCTGACGCTGAGTAGAACTTCATGCAGTTCCTAGGTCATGCCTCTCTATTTGCTAACAGGAGACTTTTCAGTTATCTTTAGTCAAGGGTTATGGGGGTCTTTGAGCAAAGAACTCTAGCATCTGTTCTTGAATACCCTGCTCCATCAGGCAAGAACTTGACATAGTCCTGATGCTTTCCTACCCTACAGTTCAAGTCCTCATGTTACAGAACACTGAACACAGTAAATTCGATGCTGGGAACAGGATTTTTGGCAATTTAGAAGAGAAAAACTGAACTAAATAGCCCTCTATCTCCATTAGTTTGAATGTACTTAAACCGCCCCCCCAAACTACTAAAAATATTAGTAATAATACACACAGACATAAGATGGCTTGTTTGGTCTTTTTTTTTATTTAGAGAATACTTTATTAGTTCTTATAATCAAACCCACGTAGATAAGACCTTATATATTTAATACAGTGTGTTACCCCTGTACAAATGGAAGAAAATTAAGTTCAACATTTCTAGACCAATATGGCTGTTAATTTCTGTACAATGCCAACTCAACATGGTAAACTGGGATACTTTTTTCCAAAGTTGACAGCACAGCTAAGTTTCCAAAAATTATATATATTATATATATATAATAGCAGTATGTTATGCATCAATAGCAGCAACAGCTTTTCCAGGTTCTGCAGTCATTTGAACAAAATTGTAGAGACATCAGCACACTCCATTTAAAACAAAACAACAAAAACAACAACAAAAAAAAAGTAAAAAACAAAATCCCAGAAAACAGCACAGTTATGTAACTCTTGTGGTACCTGGCACCATTTTTTTTTTAAATTAGCTTCTCAATCATCATCTGGAAGGAAACCATTTTGAGCAACATCATTAAAAACAGCTCTGATAAAGCATGGTCACTACTATGCATCATTAAGCAGATCCACATATGTGTGAGTACATATCATGTTTGTCTTTTTGTGATTGGGTTACCTCGCTCAGAATGGTTTCTTTGAGTTCCATTCATTTTCCTGCAAATTTCAAGATTCCATTGTTTTTTTCCTGCTGGGTAGTACTCCATTGTGTAAATGTACCACATTTTCCTCTATCTATTCTTTGGTTGAGAGTCATCTAGGCTGCTTCAGTTTCTGGCTATTACAAATAGTGCTGCTATGAACATGGTTGAATAGATGTCCTTGTTGTATGAGCTTGTTTGGTCTTTAAGAAATATTTTGAAGTCGGGCAATGGTGTGGGCAGAGCACTTGGGAGGCAGAGGGAGGTGGGTCTCTGAGTTGGAGGCCAGCCTGGTCTACAGAGTGAGTTCCGGGGACAGCCAGGGCTACACAAAGAAACCTTGTCTCAAAAAACAAAACAAACATCAAACATAGTTTTTGAGTTGTGCGGATCCTACTGAGGAGTCACCATGAGCAAACTCCCCCATCCTGAACTGAAGAAATTGATGAACAAGAAGTTATTGTTGAAGTTAAATGGTGGCAGACATGTACAAGGAATACTATGGGGCTTTGATCCCTTTATAAATCTTCCAAGACAAGGTTTCTCTAACAGATCTGGCTGTCCTGGAACTCAATCTGTAAAGTAGGCTGGCCTGGAACTCACAGAGATCTGCCTGCCTCTGCCTCCTAAGTGCTGGGATTAAAGGTGTGCACCACTACTGCCTGACCCTTTTTGAGTCTTGTGATTGAAAAGTGTGTGGAGGGTTGGAGAGATGGCTCAGAGGTTAAGAGCACCGGTTGTTCTTCCAGAGGTCCAGAGTTCAATTCCCAGCAACCACATGGTGGGTCACAACCATCCGTAATGAGATCTGGTGCCCTCTTCGGGTGTGGAGATATACATAGAAGCAGAATATTGTTGTATACATAATAAATAAATAAAATCTTTAAAAAAAAAAAAAAGAAAAGTGTGTGGAGATGGCAACTAGGGGTGACAGAATAACACCAGAATGGTGGTCATATGAGGAAACAGCATCATCATGTTAGAAGGCTTGGAAAAAGTCTGTACAATGGCTTTCAGCAGAGGAGCTCACATCTCTCCCCAGAGGGCCTGCTGACTGGGGTCTAGAATTGGGTTGTGTACATTTTCTTTTTTCTCCCTCTCCCCCAGTTGTGTACATTTTCATATGAAACTTTTTTGCTAAATAAACTTTTGTGATTAGAAAAGAAAGAAATACTTTAATAGTTGTGCCCTTGCTCACAGTAAAGGAAAACAGTTGGTAGAGGCTCACACCTGTAATCCCAGCACTTGGAAGGTAGAGACAGGAAGAGCAGGAGTTCAAGGTCAACTTTAGCTTCATAACAAATGTGAGGCCAGCCCATGTAAGGCGGGGAGCAATAAAAGCCGTTGTTCCCACTCGGATCCCTCCACTTCTGTGATCTCCTGATTTGATTAGTCAGGTTTTTTTTGTTGTTGTTGTTGTTTTTTTTTTTCCTACAGAGCCCTCCTGAGTCAGGTACCTCTTAAGCAGGTTTGAATTCTCCATGTTCTCCCTTTTTCCTCAGAAAGGTGACAGGAGAATGAAGAGCTGCAGGCAAGAAAGGGGACCACACTTTCCCTAGGCCTGACTGAACTTTAACTTCTCTGCTAATTAAACAAGACTGAGTTCTATACTTTGCTTAACCCTAGAACTGGTCATCAGCCTTTGACCTCAGCCCTCCTCTCCTGACTGGCTCCCTCCCCTCCCCCACCTGGCCTCTGGACCTCTGTCAGATTTAGGGGAAAGAAGCAGCTTTCAGAGTGACTGTCTCAGACAGCACTATCTCCACTTGCCGTCTCTGGAGAAGCCCAACAGCCATGTCTTCCAATGGGATAGGAAGGGCGGCCGCTGGAATGAGGTAAGGGGTGAGCCAGCCCTCTGCCAGCTCTTGCTGAGTTTTCTGACCTCTGAAGGACTCACAAGGATGACCTCTGACACTTTTGAGAAGACCAGAGCCTCTCCCTGGTAGTTAAGTCAAAGACCTATTTGGAAAATGTCGTTCCCCCATGGGAAGGGATGGGCAATCTAGAGAACATGGCCAGGGCAGCCCTCTAATTTGCTCTATGCTCCTCTCCTACTCAGTTGCCCCCCTGTCTCGGGGACCTCTGACTAACTCCTAAAGCCTCGTTCCCTTTTCACAGAGGGACTCCCTCTTGGATACCACACCCTTCTTGATTTAAGTGTTGAAGGGAGCTGGAAGTGAGGGCAGCCTGATCACTGTGGCTTCTATTTATGCCCACAGAGCTCTAAGGCCCCTACACCTTCCACTCACATTTCCAAATGCCCTGAAGAACAGAATGGGAACACAAGGCAATGGAGATGGGGCGATAGCTCTCTCTCTCCCTTCCCTCACCCCTCCTCCCTCGTTACCCTACCTTCCTTTGTTCCCTTTCCATTCCTCCAGTTGTAGAATTGGTTTCAGACCACACAAAAATCCAGGTATCCTTTGCCTGCCCTCAGCCTCGTCACCCCTTCTCCCACTGAGCAGACTTCCTCGGCAAGTCTTTTCTGCACTCCATGCCTGCCTTTTTCTTCCAGAAGGGGACTGGAAAGACTCAGTGCCCAGGTACAGATGCCCTTCTCAAGGCTCAGTAGCCTGGCCCACACTGTCTTAGCTACAGACATAGTCTGGAGAATTTATTTCTTGGTTTACTTTATTGAATGTTCAAATTATCTTGCCATCTCACTACATTTTTTTTTTAATTGAGGTATTATGCAGCCCAGGCTGCCCTTGTATTCCTGACCCTCCTACCTCAGCCTCCCAAATGTTGAGATTGAGGGTATATACCACACCACACCTAAGTTACTGTTTCATTTTCTAGAAAGGTGTCAAGCTGGGCATGGTAGTACATGCCTACAATCCTAGCATTTGGGATCCAGAGGCAAGAAAACCAGAAGTTCAAGGTCATTCTTAGCTACATATTGAAGTTAAGGCAGTGTAGGCTACTGAGACCCTGTCTGAATCCCTAGCACTGTCAAAGTGAGATTATCTTTACTTTTAGTGACCCCTGTTGGTACCTATTAACAGAAATTCAGGGGACAGAAAGGAATGAGGGCAGAACTAAGGCAGAGGCAGTAAAGGTCAGAGAGTAAGGAAGTGGCCTTAACTGAATCTGGGGTCAGACTAAACAAGGAGGGGAGGGATCCAGGGTGACTTTCAGGTTTCTGGCCTGTGTCAGGATCCATGGGTTGAGGGATGGAAGAGCAGGTGTGTGCTGAGAACACCAGCTCAGCAGGTCACATCTCACTATGGAAGTGGCAGGCCTTCCAGACGGGACTATCCAGACAAAAGTCAGTCTGGAGGTCAGAGTTCAGGCTGGAGCTATGGATCTGGGAATCATTATACCCGATGCTGCCTTGGCTGCATTCACTCTCTCACCCTCTTGGTCAAAGCCTTCCTGGCCTTTAAGATTCGGGCTATGTTCCATCCATGTCTGGGGGCTCTCCTGAACACCTTCAGGTGGCTCCCATTGCTCTCTGACTCTCCAGAGGGCACATGTGGGTGTTCCAGTTATCAAAGAAAACTGCATCCTCCTTCTCCAAGCATGAACAACACATATCTCCAGTATATAACTGTGTCCTGGCAAGGAGCCTAGGACTGGTCTTCTGGACAGTGATGCTTAGCTCAAATGCAAAGAAGGCCAGAATCAATCCTATGTTTCTCAGGGATAAGACTGTGCTGGCCAGGGGGGATAGGTAGTCACTGTTCTGTCTCCTTGTAGGAAGGTATGTCTTCTCTTCCTGCTACTCATTGGTGCCTGGAACTGTGTGATCTGTCATGGAAACCCTGTTGATGACATCTGCATAGCAAAGCCCCGGGACATCCCTGTGAATCCCATGTGCATTTACCGCTCTCCAACCAAGAAGGCCACTGACGAAGATGGCCTAGAGAAGAAGGTCCCGGAGGCCACCAACCGTAGGGTCTGGGAACTGTCCAAGGCCAATTCTCAATTTGCCACCACCTTCTATCAGCACCTGGCAGACTCCAAGAATGACAATGACAACATTTTCTTGTCACCCTTGAGTATCTCCACAGCTTTTGCTATGGCCAAGCTGGGTGCCTGTAATGACACTCTCAAGCAGCTGATGGAGGTACAGTGTGAAGCCCTCTACCTCTTTCCTTGCTGGGGTATCTCTTGGATTTCTTTATGTCTAATGACGCTTACACCAACACATCAGATTGTGTAGGTGACCTCACTCTGGGTTATAATTCTCTTTGAATCATTATTTCATGTATTGGGATTATTTTTAGTTTTTAATGACTATTTATTTTATGTGTATTTTCTTGCCTGCATGTGTATCTGTTAGATCCCCTGGAACTGGAGTTACATAGAGACAGTTGTGAGCTGCCATGTAGGTGCTGGGAATTGAACCCAGGTCCTCTGGAAGAGCAGCCAGTGCCCTTAACTGCTGAACAGTCTCTGCAGCCCAGGACTATTTTTCAAAATGACTCTTAGTTTTTTTGTTTGTTTGTTTTGTTTTGTTTTTTGAGACAGGGTTTCTCTGAGTAACAATCCTGACTGTACTGGAACTCATTTTGTAGACCAATCTAGCCTCGAACTCACTGAGATCTACCTGCCTCTGCCTCCCAAGTGCTGGGATTGAAGGCGTGTACCACTACTGCCTGGCTACTTGTAGGTTTCTGAGTAAGGTTTTTATATAAGCAGTTCTGGGCTGGCCTTGAACTTGTGATGATCACCTGGCCTTGGCCTCATGAACAGCAGAATTACAAGTATCAGCTACCATGTGGCTAATTGTTTTTCTTTAATTAGTCAAGGAGTTACTACCTGAATGTCTTCGTTATAAATGTTTCTAGTCTCTCCTATTTAAAAATTATTTTACTTATTATTATTTGAGGGGGAGCACACATGCTGTGGCATGTGTGTGGAGGTCCGAGGACAACTTTCAGGAGCTGGTTCTCTCCTTCCTTGTTGAGGGAGGATCCCTTGTTTCTGCCACTCTGTATAGTCCAGGGGAGTTGCCCTACAAGGTGACTCTCTTCTCTCTACTCTCCACAGTGCTATTATGGAAGTGTTGGGATTACAGATGCAAGGCACTCGGGTGGCTTTTTTGTGGGTTCTAGAGGTCAAATTCAGGCTGTCAGGGTTGACAGAAGTGCTTGTACCTGCTGACCCCTCTTGCCATATACTTTTCATAAATAGGAGAAGGCCAGTGTCACAACTTCTCTTTTTAGTCATTTTCTCTCCCTCATTCATTCATTGAGACAATGTCCTTGAATTTGGGGTCCTCCTGACTCTGTTTTGCAAGTGCTGGGATTACAGGTGTGTACTACTATGTCCAGTTATTTGTGTATTCATTTATTTGATTATATATGCATATATACATATATATTCAAGCACTACCTCTGCGGCGGGTCATATGCTGGGTGAAGACTCTAGTCCCTGCTCTGGTAGGGAAAAAATGTTTGCCATCTGATGGCTCAAGCAGATTGGCTCTTGGGGTAGATTCTAGGGCTCTGTCTGTATCCAGACCTGGGCCCCATGAAGCTGAGAAGCCTTGAAGACAAAAAACATTTTGGAGCTATGGGCAGAACTGGTCATTTCAGATCAGTGATTTCTCCACCCCTTTTGGCAGGGCAGGGAAAAAGGGAGATAAAAGTGGAGCAAGATATAAGAAACACCATGAATGAAGTAGCCACTGGTATCATCTTTTTCCTGCATAGTCATCTTCAAAACATGAACTGAGTGTTTATGCTGAACCAGGCACTGTTCTGGAGGGAATTACCGAGATAACTGTTGGTCCAGCTTTGTACTTGGTACCCATGGTAACTTGGCTGCCTAATCACACCTACCACTGTTTTCTTTTTTATAGGTTTTTAAATTTGATACCATCTCGGAGAAAACATCTGATCAGATCCACTTCTTCTTTGCCAAACTGAACTGCCGACTCTATCGAAAAGCCAACAAGTCCTCCAACTTGGTAGCAGCCAACCGCCTTTTTGGAGACAAATCCCTTACCTTCAATGAGACCTATCAGGACATTAGTGAGGTTGTTTATGGAGCCAAGCTCCAGCCCCTGGACTTCAAGGTGAGTTGTGGATCTCAGAGTCCCCTCTGCTCATACTGAAAAGGGAGAGAAACAGGATCCAAATGAACACTACTGTACTTGCCAATGGTTGGTGGAGGCTGAGGACAAAAATCAAAATACTTGGAACACTAACCCTTACTTAAGACTTCAGAGAGCAGCCGGGCGTTGGTGGTGCACACCTTTAACCCCAGCACTCATGAGGCAGAGGCAGGCAGATCTCTTTGAGTTCAAGGCTAGCCTGGTCTCCAGAGCGAGTGCCAGGATAGGCTCCAAAGCTACACAGAGAAACTCTGTCTAGAAAAACAAAAACAAAAACAAACAAACAAACAAACAAAAAGACTTCAGAGAACAATGGTACTCATGCCTTCTGTTATAGAGGTTACTCTGAAGAAGTCTGTATAAGAAATTATCTTTTCATTTCGTCTGCCAAGTTCAAATATGTCATGGACAAATAAAATTGGTTCATGATACCTGTTACATGCTCCCTTGGAGATTCATGAAGCATACAAGCCAATAAAGTGTTCTGAGGAAGTAATACAGCAAAGAAATACTTTGACTTCTGGCTCAGTTACTGTTCTATTGCTATGAAGAGATACCATGACCAAGGCAACCATAATAAAATAAAGCATTTAATTGGGGTTTGCCTACACTTTCAGAGGGTTAGTCCATTCCCATCATAGCAGGAAGCATGGCAGCAGACAGACAGGCAGGCACGGGCCTGGTCCACAAGCAGGCAAAGAGAGACACTGGGGCTGGTATGGGCTTTTGAAACCTCAAAGCCGATTCCCAGTTACATATCTCCTCCAACAAGGACATACCTACTCCTTTTCAAAAATCCTTAATCAACTGGGGACTAAGCATGCAAATGTATGAGCTTATGGGGGCTGTTTTCATTCAAACCACCACAGCTTCATTCAGTCAGCATTTTCTTTCACTATGTAGCCCTGGCTAGCCTGGAACTCACTCTGTAGACCAGACTGGCCTCGAACTCACAAAAGATCCACCTTCGTCTGCCTCCTGAGTGCTGGGATTAAAGGCATGTGCCACCACTGGCCAGTCAGCAATTTCTAAATTTACTTGACTACAGGACACACGCCCCTCCCATCCTCTTACCCATGCCATCACTCATTACTTCCCATAGACCATCAGGGACAGTGTATCAGACGTGTGAGGCTTCCTCAGTATGGGTTAAGTGATGGCTTCTTAACCAAACACTGGAAAAGAGTAGAGAAATGATGAGCAAAATACATTCTGCAGGGGGAACTCAAATTCAAAGCTGACTGAGTTGCACAGGTGCGAGGGTTATTTCCTGTTTTTTTTTAGGAAAATGCAGAGCCATCCAGAATGACCATCAACAACTGGGTAGCTAATAAGACTGAAGGCCGCATCAAAGACGTCATCCCCCAAGGAGCCATCAACGAGCTCACAGCCCTGGTGCTGGTTAACACCATTTACTTCAAGGTACTCCAACTGGTCCTAGAGAGACCCCACGGACTCCCCTTACCATTAAGCTCACCTTCTTCCACATCTTTGAGCATGTGTAGTCAGATCCCGCCTGAGAAATGGTCCATGCATAGTCTAGGCAACCATATATATTTTCCAAGAGCCCAGAGGTCCAGAGGCTTGGTAATCCTCATGCTGAGACAGAGCATGTGAATCTACAAGCCACCATCCTTCCAGGTATGAATGGTGACAAGCTTTTCCTCCTGTGTGACAATTTCTGCAATCCAATTAAATTAATGTTTTCTTTTCTTTTTTCCTTTTTTTTTTTTTTTTTTTTTTTTTTTTTTTTTTAAGTTTCAAGACAGGGTATTATGTAGCTCTGGCTTTCCTGGAACTTGCTAGGTAGACCAGGCTGACCTCCAGAGATCCATTTGCTTCTGCCTCACGAGTGCTGGGATTAAAGATGTGTACCACCAACACCTGATTGAAACAAAAATTATTTTACTGATGGATTTCTCCACTGCCTAGAGCAATTTCTGTTGTACACAGCTCCTTGGGATTCTGAAGCTCCAGGTGCTGGGCTCACCTCAGACTAAGAAGGGGCTTGTGATGTGAAGGGGCCTGTGATGTGACCATGCAGGGCTTGTTGTCCTCAGAGTCCAGGCTATAAGGACTGCTCCAATTTGATTACATTTGAGAAGGAGTGGGAGAGGACAGTGGGAACAAACACCAGGAACACTCTGGAGGACCATCCCTGCAGAGCAACAGGAATTGTGACACATTTTTTTTCTTTTTCTAGATATTTTTATTTAAATTAGAAACAATCTTATTTTACATATCAATCCCAGTTTCCTCTACCTCCCATCCTCCCATGTTCCCCACCAGCCCCCCATTCCACCCACCCCCCTTCTGCTCCCCAGGGAGGTTGAGGCCTTCCATGGGGGATCATCAAAGTCTGTCACATCATTTGGGGCAGGGCATGGTGACACATATTTTTTATCCTTCCTTAGACATGCATTGTTTGCATTCCTCCTTTCTCCCTGTGGCCCAGCGACTTAGCCAGTCACTGCTAGTGTCAACCACTCTGCCTCTTAGGGTTTCCCTCTCCTCCAGAACATCAGGCAGTGTGTTACCTTTACAGTTTATGGAACAACTTGCTATTTATTATCACTCTTGTTCCTCATACACTGCAAGTGAGACCCTTGGCCATTTATGCAGTATGATTTCTTTATTGTAAGTCTTGACTCCTTGTTTGTAAGTATACGAATTCTTGTGAGTTACTGGGGAGTTAATGGGACTTTGCTATGGCCTGCTTTTTATAAAATGGTAACGAGGATTCACCTGCTTTATAGGATTAGTAAAGGGACTGAGTGGGTGAACAAACATGAAATACTTGTGAGTATTTATACATCCTTAGAGTACACAGTTAACATTTTTAAGTCATTGGCTTTTTCCAATGCCTAACTTGCTGCTGAGAAACCACTACTCAAAAGACTTCTCTAAAGAGCCAAGAGCCAGAAAATGATAAGGAATGGTGCAGGAAGCCAGCCAGGATGTATTATTTGCCTGGCAGGACTTCCAAACAAATTCCTGGGATTGTTGTCCGAGTCTGGCCTCTAACTCACAGAGCTCTGGAGGCTGTCACTGGGAAAGAGGTGGTGGATAGCAGATAGCATAAGACAGAATTAACTTGCAAAGAAGACTACAGGCTATTCTTGGATTTGGACTTTTCTGATTAAAAAAAGAAATCAATGCTAAGTTGATGAGATAGCTCATCTGGTAAAGGTGCTTGTCACCATGCCTTGACAACTTGAGTGCCATCATAGAACCCACATGGTAGGAGGAAAGAGCCAGTTCCTACATGTTGATAAGTTGTCCTTTGACGTCCACACACTCACAACGGCACACCTCTCCTCTCAAATATAAAATGATAATAATAATGAAAATAATAATAATAATGCTAGAAATCTGACAAATATAGAAAAAACAGAATGAAACACACAGAAGTAATTGTACCACTCAGGCATAATTATTAGCCTTTTAACATATCTAGTTACTCCAATAACACATTTATATGTTGATATAATCAGACAATATAATTATGTCCCATATTAATTAATATTCTGCTAGGATATTTTTGTTCTTGCTTTATGATTCTCCAATCTGACATCTTTCAGGGCTTGTGGAAGTCAAAGTTTAGCCCCGAAAACACAAGGGAGGAGAAATTCTACAAGGCTGATGGGCAGTCATGCTCAGTGTTTATGATGTACCAGGAAGGCAAATTCAAATACAAGCGTGTGGCTGAAGGCACCCAGGTGCTTGAGCTGCCCTTCAAGGGGGATGACATCACCATGGTGCTCATCCTGCCCAAGCCTGAGAAGAGCCTGGCCAAGGTGGAACGGGAACTCACCCCAGAGCTGCTGCAGGAGTGGCTGGATGAGCTGACTGAGACGATGCTTGTGGTCCATATGCCCCGTTTCCGCACTGAGGATAGCTTCAGTTTGAAGGAGCAGCTGCAAGACATGGGCCTTGTTGACCTGTTCAACCCTGATAAGGCCCAACTCCCAGGTTGGTACAGGAGAGAACTGCCCCCTCTCTACTCCAGGTAAAGGTTTGACCAAATGTGGGAGAGTCGAGGAACACACAGAAAAGAGTGTCAAGTCAGGATATCTGGATTCTGATCCTGGCTCTGTGATAAGCTGTGGCGATCGATCCCTTGCCCTTCCCAGCCCCCTGTAGAAGGGGGTGTTTGCTCTTGTTTCCAGAAGTCTAGCCAGTACTGTCATCCTATGAATCTGTATCTCATAGAGGAAATAAAACCAGGTGGAGAAGGATTTGAAAAAGCATTGGAATTAAAAGAGACAGACATTAAAACCGAAGCATCCTGGGACATGATTGTAATTCCAACGCTTGGGAGGTGGGGCAGAAGATAGAATTCTAGGCCAGCCTGGACTATTTAAAAGACCTTGTCTGAAAAGCAAAATAAAATAGGGGCTGGAGAGATGGTTTAGCAATTAAGAGCATGGGTCATTATTGCAGAAGATCAGTTTCTAGAATTCAAGGCAGACATCTCACAACCTCCTGTTACTCTAGCTCCAGGGGGTCTGACTCCATAGGTAC